ATGGATAATATACAGTTGGCTGGGTTTTCTGTAAAACAGAACAGGAACCTCCGGTAAGACGAGGGGTGGTGGTCTATTTGTCAATAACAGCTAGTGCGCAATCTCTAATATTGAGGTAGAGTACCTCATGATAAGTTGTAGACCACACTATTTACAAAGAGAGTTTTCATCTATAATTTTCGTAGCTGTCTATTTACCACAAACCAATGCAGGCACTAAGACCTCACTCGTTGAGTTGTATAAGGCCATAAGCAAACAAGAGAATGCTCACCCAGAGGCAGCGCTCCTAGTGGCCATAGACTTTAATGCAGGAAAACTTAAATCCGTTTGACCTCATTTCTATGTGCAACCAGAGGAAAAAAAAACTCTAGACCACCTTTACTCCACACACAGAGACACATAAAAAGCTCTCCCTTGCCCTCCATTTGGTAAATCTGACCATAATTCTATCCTCCTGATCACTGCTTACAAGCAAAAACTAACAGGACTGTTTTGCTAGCACAGACTGGAATATGTTCCGGGATTCATCCGGTGGCATTAAGGAGTACTGTATACCACTTCAGTCACCGGCTTAATCAATAAGTGCGTTGACGTGTCATCCCGACAGTGACCGTACGTACATATCCCAACCAGATGCCATGAATTACAAGCAACATCCCCACTGAGCTAAAGTCTACAGCTGCCGCTTTCAAGAAGTGGGACACTGTCATAAGAAATCCCGCTATGCCCTCCGACGAACCATCAAACAGGCAAAGCGTCAATACAAGACTAAGATTGAATCCAACTACGTCGGCTCTGACGCTCGTTGGATGTGGCAGGGCTTGCAAACTATTACAGATTACAAAGGGATACCCAGCCGTGAGCTGCCCAGTGACGCAAGCCTACCAGATGCTCGCTTCGAGCAGCAATGAACCATGCATGAGATCACCAGATGTTCTGTACGACTGTGTGATCACGCTCTCCATAGCCGATGTGAGTAAGACCTTTAAACAGGTCAACATTCACAAGGCCGCAGGGCCAGACGGATTATCAGGACACGTACTCAGAGCATGCACTGACCAACTGTCTTCACTGACATTTTCAACCTCTGCCTGACCGAGTCTGTAATACCTACATGTTTCAAGCAGACCACCATAGTCCCTGTGCCCAAAAACACCAAGGTAACCTGCTTAAATGACTACCGTCTGTAGCCATGAAGTGCTTTAAAAGGCTGGTCATGGCTCACATCAACACCATCATCCCAGAAACCCTAGACCCACTACAGTTCGCATACCGCCCCAACAGAGCCACAGATGACGCAATCTCCATTGCGTTCCACACTGCATTTTCCCACCTGGACAAAAGGAACACATATTTGAGAATACTGTACTGTTCAACACCATAGTGTTCTAAAGCTCATCACTAAGCCAAGGACCCTGGGACTGAACACTTCCCTCTGCAACTGGATCCTGGACTTCCTGACGGGCCGCCCCCAGGTGGTAAGGGTAGGCAACAACACATCTGCCACGCTGATCCTCAACACGGGGGCCCTTCATGGGTGCGTGCTCAGTCCCCTCCTATACTCCCTGTTCACCCACGACTGCGTGGCCATGCACAACTCCAACACCATCATTAAGTTTGCCGACGACACAATGGTGGTAGGCCTGATCACCGACAATGATGAGACAGCCTATAGGGAGGAGGTCAGAGACCTGGCAGTGTGGTGCCAGGACAACAACCTCTCCCTCAACATGAGCAAGACAAAGGAGCTGATCGTGCACTACAAGAAAAGGAGGGCCGTGCATGCCCCCATTCAAATCGACTGGGCTGTAGTGGAGCATATCGAGAGCTTCAAGTTCATTGGTGTCCACATCACTAACAAACTATCATGGTCTAAACACACCAAGACAGTCATGAAGAGGGCACGACAATGCCTTTTCCCCATCAGGAGAATGAAAAGATTTGGCATGGGTCCTCAGATCCTCAAAAGGTTCTACAGCTGCACCATCGAGTGATTGACTGGTTGCATCACCGCTTGGTATGGCAACTGCTCGGCATCTGACCGCAAGGCACTACAGAGGGTAGTGCGTACGGCCCAGTACATCACTGGGGCCACGCTTCCTGCCATACCAACATGTTTCAAGCAGACCACCATAGTCCCCGTGCCCAAGAACTCTAAGATAACCTGCCTAAATGACTACCGACCCGTGGCACTGACGTCTGTAGCCATGAAGTGCTTTGAAAGACTGGTCATGGCTCACATCAACAGCATAATCCCAGAAACCCTAGACCCACTCCAATTTGCATACCGCCCCAACAGATCCACAGATGATGCAATCTCTATCGCACTCCACACTGCCCTTTCCCACCTGGACAAGAGGAACACCTACGTGAGAATGCTATTCATTGACTACAGCTCAGCATTCAACACCATAGTGCCCTCAAAGCTCATCACTAAGCTAAGGATCCTGGGACTAAACACCTCCCTCTGCAACTGGATCCTGGACTTCCTGACGGGCCGCCCCCAGGTGGTAAGGGTAGGTAACAACACATCTGCCACACTGATCCTCAACACGGGGGCCCCTCAGGGGTGCGTGCTCAGTCCCCTCCTGTACTCTCTGTTCACCCATGACTGCATGGCCAGGCACGACTCCAACACCATCATTAAGTTTGCCGACGACACAACAGTGGTAGGCCTGATCACCGACAACGATGAGACAGCCTATAGGGAGGAGGTCAGAGATCTGGCCGTGTGGTGCCAGGACAACAACCTCTCCCTCAACGTGACCAAGACAAAGGAGATGATTGTGGACTACAGGAAAAAAAAGAGGACTGAGCACGCCCCCATTCTCATCGACGGGGCTGTAGTGGAACAGGTTGAGAGCTTCAAGTTCCTTGGTGTCCACATCACCAACGAACTATCATGGTCCAAACACACCAAGACAGTCGTGAAGAGGGCACGACAAAGCCTATTCCCCCTCAGGAGACTAAAAAGATTTGGCATGGGTCCTCAGATCCTCAAAAAATTCTACAGCTGCACCATCGAGAGCATCCTGACTGGTTGCATCACCGCCTGGTATGGCAACTGCTTGGCCTCTGACCGCAAGGCACTACAGAGGGTAGTGCGTACGGCCCAGTACATCACTGGGGCAAAGCTCCCTGCCATCCAGGACCTCTATACCAGGCGGTGTCAGAGGAAGGCCCTCAAAATTGTCAAAGACTCCAGTCACCCTAGTCATAGACTGTTCTCTCTGCTACCGCACGGCAAGCGGTACCGGAGTGCCAAGTCTAGGTCCAAAAGACTTCTCAACAGCTTCTACCCCCAAGCCATAAGACTCCTGAACAGCTAATCATGGCTACCCGGACTATTTGCACTGCCCCCCCACCCCATCCTTTTTACGCTGCTGCTACTCTGTTAAGTATTTATGCATAGTCACTTTAACTCTACCCACATGTACATATTACCTCAACTAGCCGGTGCCCCCGCACATTGACTATGCAACGGTACCCCCCTGTATATATAGCCTCCCTACTGTCACTTTATTCTATTGTATATATAGCCTCCCTACTGTCACTTTATTTTTTACTTCTGCTCTTTTTTTTCTCAACACTTTTTTGTTGTTGTTTTATTCTTACTTTTTTGTTTAAAATAAATGCACTGTTGGTTAAGGGCTGTAAGTAAGCATTTCACTGTAATGTCTGCACCTGTTGTATTCGGCGCATGTGACCAATAAAATTTGATTTGATTTGACCTCTACACCAGGCGATGTCAGAGGAAGGTCCGAAAAAATGTCAAAGACTCCAGCCAATTAAGTCATTGACTGCTCTCTCTGCTACCGCACGGCATGTGGTACCGGAGCGCCAAGTCTAGGTCCAAAAGGCTCCTTAACAGCTTCTACCCCCAAGCCATAAGACTGCTAAACAGTTAATCAAATGGCTACCCGGACTATATGCATTGACCACCTTTTTTACGGTGCTGTTACTCGCTGTTTATTATCTATGCATAGTCACTTTAACCCTACCTACATGTACTTATTACCTAATTTACCTTGACTAACCTGTACCCTCGCACATTGACTCGGTACCGGTACGCCCTGTATATAGCTTCATCACTGTTATTTGATTGTGTTATTATTATTATTATTATTATTATTTTTCTTCTTCACTTTTTGTTTTTGTATTATTTATTTTAAATATATTTTGTTACTTAAAAAAAAAAAATCTGCATTGTTGGTTAAGGGCTTGTAAGTAAGCATTTCGGAGCATGTGACAAATACATGTGGGCGGCAGGTAGCTTAGTGGTTAAGAGCGTTGTGCCAGTAACCGAAAGGCGCTGGTTATCCCCGACCGATAGGTGAAAATCTGTGATGTGCCCTTGAGCAAGGCACTAACCTAATTGCTCTGAAGTCTCTGGAAGAGCTCTGCTCTGACTCATTTATTTTTATACATGATTGCGCTCTGACTCTGGCTCTCTCTCTGTTGTGTCTCTCTATCTCTCTCTCTCTCTGTCTCTATGTCCTCTCTGTCTGTCTCCCTCTCTTCTCCCCGCTGTCCTCTCTCTCTCCCTGTCTCTGTCTCTCTCTCTCCTCTCTCTCTCTCTGTGTGTGTGTCTCTCTTTTCAGGCTTTAACACAACAAAATGTGGAAAAAGTCAAGGAGTGTGAATACTGTACTTTCTGAAGCCACTGTCGTAATCATATGCAGGTAGTATCTCTATCCCTTACTCTCTCTCTTTCTCTCTCTCTCTCTTTCTCTCTCTGTAAATCAACATGAGCAGATGGGGAATTGCTGGACATGCTGTGCTAGACAGATCCACCATTCACAGGCCAAGGGGGATATCAGACAAACTTGACACAGATATGTCCTACGTTTCAATCTAATCAAACATATTCATCCAAATTCAGTTCAATTGAGGGTAGCCAAACAGTTGTGTAAGCATAAAAGAGTATAGTGTGTTTTTCATCTGTATATCATATCATAAATCATAAATGTGTGTGTATGTGTGTGTCCTCTTTCACAGACTGTCCAGAGGGTCGCTACGGGGCTGGATGTAACCAATCGTGCCACTGCTCTGGCTCCCCATGTGACAATGTGACAGGACAGTGTGACTGTCTTGCCGGTATGAAGGGACAGCACTGTGAGACTGGTAAGGATGGGGGGCAAAATGCTAATAAGGTGTGCTGTGTAGGGCCATGGGGGAAGAGGAACTCTGATGGTGGGTGGAGGGTGCAAGGGGTTCCAATTAATAAATCAAAAATAGTTTTTGTATTTTCTTTACATGTACTGCACAAACATCAGGAAAGGAAAGGTGTGACTCGTTATCATAAAAACATGAGATTTTATTATCTACTTCATATTCAAATCATGACGTTTGGGCCGTCAATGCCATGGCCTTCATCAGATATTAGGCAAACATCCAAAGACATTTGTCTGGCACTAGGTAGGTAGAATATGAACTGTAAAAAAAATAAAGGTGTCACTGAATAAAACACCTCAACCTCCAAGGCATTTGAAAAACAAGGAAAACTCTAGGAAGACGAACCAGTCCTCCTAGAAACGGAGCCCATCCTCTTCTGGCTGGCCGGGCATAATGACAAATCCCATAGGAATATCCTCCTAGCATACCGGCATGGAAAAATCACTGTACCACGTCGGTCCTCTTTAAAAGCTCTCTTCAAATCAACATTGGCTGGGCTGGCCAGAGCAGTATGTGTGTTATATTCAACAATGTGATCACACACATCTCTCTCCAACTGCTAACCATAGTAAAACAACCCAGAAAACGTGTTGTGATTCCATCTTTAATGTGTTTCCATTCTGGTCCGTTTGAGCTTCTCCTGGACGTTGTTGTGAATACGAGCTCCTTGGAAGAGGTGATGGAACTGAGCCTGGCAGTTTTAGAGAAGAGAGAGTACTTAAAGGCCCAGTGCAGTCAAAAACATGATTTTCCTGTGTTTTATATATATTTCCACATTATGAAGTTGGACTAATACTGTGAAATTTTGAAAATGATGATAATACCCTTTTAGTATAAGAGCTGTTTGAAAAGACTGCCTAAAATTTCAGCATGTTTGGTGGGAGTGAGCTTTGGCCTTCCATGGTGAAATCACCCTGCAGTAAATGTGTTGATAGGCCAATAAGAAAGTGTTCCAAACCTCTCTGCCAATTACATCTAATTATCAGTTTTCCTCTCCGCACTCAAACCACTCCGACAGTCCTAGCTAAATTCTTGCTTGAAAAATTGCTTTTTGCTAAGAAGCTATTTTTGTTTATTTTTGACCCTTTTAATTTAAAACAATAACAGTAAGGTACTTAATTGTTTCCCAGAAATTATTTGATATTGAGATAAAAACAGCTGCATTGGACCTTTAAGGTCCACAGTGGCTATGTCCCAAATGGAACACTATTCCCTACATAGTGCACTACATTTGACCAGGGCTCTGGTCCATAGGGTGCCATTTGGGACACAACCAGTGTCTTTTCTCAACCTTGTTCAAGACCGGCTAAGGTTAACTTGAACCGAAATGGCATGGAAAATTATGGGGCAGCTAAAGCATTGTAGCATCTCTTCAATCACTGCTTCGTAAGAGGAGTTGTGTCACAATACAGACCCATAAAAACAATGTTAACCCATTGAAGTACACATGCAAGAGATGGGAATAGAAAGGGAGAGAGAGAGAGACAGATCAAGAGTACTCATGGTCAGAAAGCCACTGTAGCGAGTTATACATACAGTATATTAAAACAGCACTTTATGAAATTAGATTTTCAAAGAAGCCATATGAGAATGAGTACTATGTTCATTCTTTAGTCATGGAACCCTGGTTAGAATAATAATGCTGAATAGTATTAGCCCCATATGAAGAATATAACATTTCATTCACTTAGGACAGCTTTGGAGTATTTTTCTCTCTCACTTTCTCTCTCTCTCTCTCTCTCTCTCTCTCTCTGTCCCTCTCTTTCCCCTTATGTCTGTTAGAGTGTGAGGAGGGTCGTTGGGGTGTGGGCTGCTCAGGCTCCTGTCCCCGCTGTCAGAACAGGGGAGTGTGTGACAAACACAATGGAGTGTGTTGCTGTCAACCTGGATACATGGGCACCCTGTGTCAGAGCGGTGAGAGATACACACACACACTAGTCACCACTCCTCAGACTTAGTATAATTGACCATACTATCTCTCTTTCGTAGCCTGCCCGGTGGGTAGATTTGGCCTGGGTTGTCAGCTACGCTGTCTGTGTGATAACGGTGGCCGCTGCCACCCGGTGACGGGCCACTGTGCCTGTCCTGAAGGATGGACTGGACCCAGCTGCAGCAGAGGTAAGTAAAGATGATTGATTGTGTGACCCACAATCATCACTGGAGTACTTTATGGTCCGCCCTACCACGTAGACCTGGGTTCAAATAAAATACTATTTGAAATTTGGGCTTAATTCCCTGGCTCAACGGAACCAATAGAAGAGTCGCAAAATTGCAAAACCTCGCCCATCTTGCACTCCAGGCAGGCTAAAGCAAACCAGGCTAAAGTAGTTGAACCCAGGTCTGCTACCACTTCAGCTTGTAATAATAGTTATAATAACATTGTAGTTCATTAGTTGGTTCCTTCTTTGATCATGACTGTTTTAGTGAAAGTGAAAAAATATGAGATATATGAGTTGTGGGGGTCATGACCTTGTGTTGACCTCTGACCTCTGTCTCTATGGCAGCATGTGATGCCGGGCGCTGGGGAGCGGACTGTGCCAACATGTGTGAGTGCCCGGGCAGCGATGGCAGCTGTGACCTCATCACGGGACAGTGTCACTGTGAGGCGGGCTACACGGGACCACACTGCCAACAGAGTAAACACATACAGTACATCTCCTTGTGTGTGTGTCTATGCTTGTGCACTTTCATGTGTGTGTGTCGATTTGTGTGTAACTGTACATACACTTGCTGGGTTGGGGACAATGCCTTAACAAAGTCACTAGCAGGGGAAAGTGTTTTAGTTTCTCTCTGAGCTCTCTCTCTCTCTCTGCCCTTGCACTGCCACAGAGTGCCCAGAAGGCTCCTTTGGCGTAGGCTGCAGACACAGGTGCCAGTGTGCCAACGAGGCGGCCTGTGAGCATGTTAGTGGAGCCTGCACCTGCCTCACTGGTTGGACCGGCACCTACTGTGAAAAATGTAAGTGTGTGTGTGTGTGTTGGATAACTAATTAGAGTATGTGAGAATGGCCACATGATATGTTTGGAGGTGTGTAAGGTCGTCATTAATTGACTTAACTGTATAAATAAAGGTGACATTTTAAAATGTGTGTGTGTGTGCAGCATGTCCTGACGGCTTCCATGGGCTGGAGTGTCAGCAGCAGTGTCAGTGTTCTAATGGGGGGAGATGTGACCACCTGACGGGTGCCTGCCACTGTCCAGACGGCTGGGTCGGACCACAATGCAATACCAGTGAGTCCCATTGGCCTAGGCCCGCTATGCAAATTCCATCCTGCCCACCCATACACCCATCCATCCATCCATCTATCCATACACATACAGAACACGCGGCAGGTAGCCTAGCAGTTAAGAGCGTTGGGCCTGTAACTAAAAAGTCACTGGTTCGAATCCCTGAGCCGACTAGGTGACAAATCTGTCGATGTGCCCTTGAGCAAGGCACTTAACCCTGATTGCTCCTGTAAGTTTCTCTGGAGAAGAGCATCAAACACATGTCAAACAAACTAGACAAAAGCACACAAATGAATTATGTTAGTAACTAAATTTATATGAGATCTTTTCTATTGCATTATAGTTTATTTAAGATACTTTCAATAGTTCAACTCCACACCGTAATCAGATTGTTTTAATTTCTCCAGGAATTACATTTTCCTACTAACATCACATTAAGAGCTGTTTGTGTGAGAAAATGTTATGGAACACCCCTTTAAAGAGATTCTCTGGTACTGTTATATACTTTTTAGCCAGTAGTTCTGAAAGTAATGCTCACGAGCCAAAAGTGGTCCCCGAAAATGTATTACTACGCCACATATATGCAGATATGTGCACTATGTCATTGCTCTCTCTCTCGCTCTGCTGTGTGTGCATCTTGCTATCTGTCACTCAAATGGCGAGGGGCTGAAGCTCATTGGCTAGAACTCAAATTGCTAGGGGGCTGGCCCACGTGGGGGAAAATGTAGGGGAAATGGCGCAGCACAGCTTACAGAAAAACAGTGGCTTTCAAACTAGGGATGTTGTGGCAAAGTTCCGGAGCGTATCTTTAACAGCCTGAATAGTACCAAACATGTATCAAACCAATATCTGGGGGATTTCTGTAGCCGCTCGATAAAAGAAAAGAAAAACAGAAAAACAGGTGTCAGTACATTTTATGAAGTGGTAATGGTAATGACGTGTCTGGTGAATACCCCTCGTGTTCCCCGCTTGTATGTGCCATTGCATAATCCCCTGGATCGACATAGTCATTTTTCTGTTCTGACTGGTAATGGGGTGCCAGGAGGGCCAGGGGCAGACTCAGTGATTTGGAGGCCCCAAGCAGAGGCCTGTCTGAGACCCTGCCCAGAGCCGCCTCTAGCCTTTTGGGGGCCCTAAGTGAGATTTGGTTGTCTAATGGTAAGTCTGAGGAGGGCCCATTCCAAAGAATTACCTGTGTGTGCCTGCCTGTGTGTGCGTATGTGTGCCTGCGCCTGTGTGTGCCTGTGTGTTTGTGCGTGTGCCTGTATTGTGTGGAGAGCCGAGCGTTGCACACAACTGTCACGACACCTTTGTATTTGTATACAGTTATAGTTTATTATGGCTGTTTTTGTTCCCCCTAACATTCTGTGCCCTGTTCCTGTGGTAGAATGCCAGACAGGGTGGTTTGGCCGTGGGTGTAAACACACCTGTGAATGCCGTAATAATGCCACCTGTGACCCTGTGAGTGGGCAGTGCCAGTGTACGCCAGGGTGGATCGGCCCCAGCTGTGAGAAAGGTACTGTCAATATGTGTGTGTGTGTATGCGTGTGTGTGCACTTGCGGGGGTTCGTGGGTCATTCTACCAAGAGTGCCTCTTGGGTACTGTAATTTGGTCAAAACAAAATCTATTTATCTCACCTTATTTTAACATTCTGTCATAAAGAGCACATTTAACTTAATAAAAAAAACATGTTTTCACATCTCAAGTGGTTAAAAAAAGGCTATAGTAATTTCCAATTAACATTTGTATTGTCTGTGTATTGTAGTGTTTTATTGATTTTTTTTTTGTATATATAGTATAAAAATAAAATAAATTGCCAATTAAGTCCCAATTCAAGTAACAGAGTTGACTGTAACAGGATTGACATTGCATTTTAAATCAGCCATAAATCCCCTTGTGACATGGGGGATGGAAGCATGTTGTGTGCTACAGGAAGGGACAATTACATGCAAGCTTAATTTTGTAAATTTATTTTTATGTTCTATCCTGTCTATCTATCGGTAACAGGGTTGATGTGTTATGCTTGACGTGCTCACTTTTCCACCACAAAACACCAGAAAATTGCCAAACAAAGTAGAACTAGCTCACCTGCTTTTACATTATGATTTTACTACTATGTTCAATATTTATTTTGAATTTAACCTTTATGGGATCGGTGTCCCGTATACGGGACGGTTGAGCTAACGTGCGCTAATGTGATTAGCATGACTGTTGTAAGTAACAGCGAACTTTCCAGGACATAGACATGTCTTATATGGCAGAAAGCTTAAATTCTTGTTAATCTAACTGCACTGTCCAATTTACAGTAGCTGTTACAGTGAAAAAATACCATGCTATTGTTTGAGGAGAGTGCACAACAACAAACGTATCGCTGCAACTGGTTTGATACATTCATCTCTGAAGGTAAATAATGTACTTACATTCAGTAATCTTGCTCTGATTTGTCATCCTAAGGGTCCCAGAGATAAAATTTAGTTTTGTTTGATAAAATCCATTTTTATATTCAAAATGTAAGAACTGGGCTCTACAGTTTCAACCCCTGCTGTCTCTGGCTCCACACCAACCCCGCCCGGCCATCTAGATGTGTGAAAGTTAGTGTATAAGCTAATGATCCATCATGTATGACATTCCTGGGAGTGTGTAAACTTAAATTTTGTATTACCATATCATTTTTGTATGTTCTCTGTAGTTATGTACTTGAAAATGTATCAATTGACCAATTCTGTACATTTGGGCAGACTTGATACAAAATAGTCCAGTATTGCAATGCTTCACTGGATCTGAAACTTTGCACACACACTGCTGCCATCTAGGGGCCTAAATCAAATGTGTGCCTAAACTGCAATATTATATTGTGGCAAAGTGTTTCCTTTCAAATGGTATCAAGAATATGCATATCCTTGCTTCAGGTCCTGACCTACAGGCAGTTAGATTTGGGTATGTCATTTTATGGGAAAATTGAAAAAAAGGGTCCAATCCTTAAGAGGTTAAAACGAGAGTTCAGTTTCCATAACAGGGTTGACCTTAAAATGAGGGACAGATGGAAATTAATCATTTATCACATTAAATAAATTATAATCTTCAGAAATGACTTTTTCAAAGCAACAAAAATAACTATGGCTTTACAATGATGGGGAAAACTTGGAGACATTTTGGGGTTAAGTGAGTTAGTCTTCCTAGAAGTCGGAAAAATATGACGAGGGACATGTCAAAATGCCGATTTTTGGCACTTTAGCAAGTCTTCATTGATATTCAAAATCTGATATATTGAATTTTTCATGTGGTGTATGTTAAAGGCACCTTCATTTAATATAACAGGCTTTTATAATTCAATGTTAGTTTACAATTTCTACTTAAAATATCAAAGGGACTCAAAGGGCACTCTATTTGTGGAACAACCCTCCTGTGTGTTTGTATGCATATGTGCATTTATCCATGCACACACATCCGGGCATGTTTGTAAAAGACAACCTGTGTGTGTGCTCATGCATGTGTGCATGCGTGACAGAGAATGTATTATTTTGCTTACAAAATTGGAAAGTCCATTTGAAAAGCAGGTTATATTTAGCTGCTATTCAATCCTCCACATCTGCACATTTCATTGAGCGTCCCTAATGCTAAGTAATGGTAGCATTCCCTCCCTTTCCAACCACTATACATACAGGACAGTGGCTACACTCTGATTCTCTACCCTTCTCCCTAAAGTGTGCAGTCATTCACTCCCCCTAAAGGGTTGAAATAGAACAGACAATACATACAATACAGTGGCTGCACTTTGATTATCTTCCCTGTCCCCTGAAGTGTGCACTCAACTTTTTCACTCAACTTTTTCATGGACTTGTGTACGTTTGAAATATGGTGGAATCTAACTCATGTTTACAGCGATGTGTATCTTTCTTTCAGAATGTGTAGACGGCTTCTATGGACAAGACTGCCACTATCACTGCCTGTGTCAGAACGGGGGTGTGTGTGATCAGTTCTCTGGGCGCTGCTCGTGCTCCAATGGGTGGACCGGGGCAGCCTGCGAACTGCGTAAGTGGTGGATCAACTTCTAGGGCCAAATAGGGAAGAAGGGGGGTTGGGAGATTTCCAATGCACTTAGGCCCTCAACAACGGTTATAGGGATACTGCGAGATTCTACTTACCCAAAGTCAGATGAACTCGTGGATACCATTTGTATGTCTCTGCGTGCCGTATGAAGAAAGTTAGCAGTAGTTTTGCAAGCAAAGCTAACTAGCGTTTGCGCAATTACTGAAAGTCTACAGGTACGGTAAATGCCAGAATCTCGCAGTATCCCTATAATGCAATAACAGATAATGTTATAACTGGTCATAATGCAATAACTTTTTAACAGGGTAATGTAATAAGTTGCCGGATAATGTAGGCTAATAAACATGTTGAACAGATAATGTGATCTTTTTTCCACTGTAATAAGTTAGTGTGTTATCCTGTGGTTAATTATGTTATTAGGTGAGTAACAACTTTTTGGATGAATAATTAACTTCAACGGATCATGTAAAATTCCAAAATCACTGTCTTTATGATTTATTTAATTTATTTTAAGGGTGATACGCTAATCAATCCGCTGGCTAGACCTAGTTACAACTATGTATACCATGTAGACACCATATAATAAGTCCTTAATAGAAGTCTGAGTTCAACCTCCTGTGTGTGCCACTCCCCCTCCCATTGTACTGTATCTCAGCACATTTTCGAACAATGGCTGCAATAAGTGCTGTGGTTCTTCCAATCACAAAAGGTTGTGGTAGTGTAGATGTGAGCCATCGCAGGTCAATTCACAGTTCTTACCTGAGCATTTACAGTCCATTCGGAAAGTATTCAGACACCTTCCCCTTTTCCACATTTTGTTACGTGATATTTCAGTTTTTATTTTTAATAAATGCTATTTTTTTTCTCGCTAATAACTTATTTTTGCTTTGTGATTATGGGGTATTGTGTATAGATTGATGAAGGGAAAAAACTATTTCATCCATTTTAGAATAAGGCTGTAACGTAACAACATGTGGAAAAAGTGAAGGGGTCTGAATACTTTCAGAATGCACTGTCCATACAGTTTAAAATACTACATGACATTACATTTCATAACACCTTACCCAACACATTGAGTGTGTTCCCTCAGGCCACCACTCCACCACCACATATTTACAATACAACATCCATGTGCACGTGTGTGTAGATTGCGTGTCTTATCATGTGTATGTTTGTCTGTGCCTGTGTGTGTCTCTTCACAGCCCCCGCTGTTCCATAAGGTGTCTTTTTATCAGTAAAAAAAAAATCTGATTCTACTGCTTGCATCAGTTACCTGATGTGGAATCGAGTTCCATGTAGCCATTAATCTATGTAGTACTGTGCACCTCCTATAGTCTGTTCTTGACATGGGGATTGTGAAGAGACCATTGGTGGCATGCCTTGTGGGGTATGCATGGGTGTCCAAGCTGTGTGTTAGTACTTTAAACAGACACCTCGGTGCATTCAGCATGTCAACATATTTTTTTTTTAATATTGAATGACATCCGAATAGCAAGTCAGTTGGTGTGATATACAAATGCATTTACTGTAAGTAGGCTTTACATGACAAGGGAAGTGGGTTATGGAAGGCAGCAAAAGAGAGGGATCAGAAACCATATCATATGTTGTGTCATTTCTTACCAACGGGCTGTGGTAAAAAATTTAAACTACCGACTGCCAGTAAAACAAGTATTGGCATTGAGAATGTGTGGCGCAGTGGTCTAAGGCATTGCATTGCAGTGCTAGCTGTGCCACTAGAGATCCTGGTTCAAATCCAGGCTCTGTCGTAGCCAGTCGCGACCGGGAGACACATGGAGCGGCACACAATTGGCCCAGTGTCGTCCAGGGTAGGGGAGGGAATGGCCGGCAGGGATATAGCTCAGTTGGTAGAGCATGGGGTTGTGGGTTCGATTCCCACGGGGGGTATGAAAAATTTAAAAAATTATGTATGCACTCACTAACTGTAAGTCGCTCTGGATAAGAGCGTCTGCTAAATGACTAAAATGTAAATGTAAATTGATGCCAAACCACACAAGTCTGTGACATGAAATAGTCTAACACCTCACAGGTGACAACTTAAGAGGGGCAAACTGCTCTTACCAGGATCCAATCTTCTCACCCTCCTCTTACATTTTAGCAGACGCTCTTATCCAGAGCGACTTACAGTTAGTGAGTGCATACATTTTCATACTGGCCCCCGTGGGAAACGAACCCACAACCCTGGCGTTGCAAGCGCCATGCTCTACCAACTGAGCTACAGGGGACTCATCTTTAATGTTGGCATTCAACCTCAGTGTTTGACTATAGAAGTTGCTTTCAGTGTATTGCTCGGATATGTACCAATATAGCTCTCTCATCATTGCCTCTTGTGCGTGACGTCTTCTTTCAACACTCAGTGATTTCAAGAGAGAAGCTACATATTGTCCAAATTGGTCATAAAGATCAGATAATGCAGTCTCCCGAGTGGCGCAGTGGTCTAAGGCACTGCAGATGCAGTGCTAGCTGTGCCACTAGAGATCCTGGTTCAAATCCAGGCTCTGTCGTAGCCGGCTGCGACCGGGAGACCCATGGGGCGGCGCACAATTGGCCCAGGGTAGGGGAGGGAATGGCCGGCAGGGATGTAGCTCAGTTGGTAGAACATGGTGTTTGCAACGCCAGGGTTGTGGGTTCGATTCCCATGGGGGGCCAGTATGAAAAATATAAAAATAATGTATGCACTAACTGTAAGTCGCTCTGGATAAGAGCATCTGTTAAATGTTATTTAAACATTTTTATCTAATACATCGAACATCTTCCTCCACAAGGCAGTTGAATCAATGACCTTGTCCTCCTGGAGTTTTATTTTGTTACATGGGGACTTGCTCACTTCTTCATGTTTAATGTTGAAGATATTCTGACCAGCCATGGCTAGGATAAATCGATGTTACAGCTTCTTCCCTGACACAGGTGGCTATTATTGGAAAGGTCAGACACATCCCTCTCAACAAATTCCACCCACCTTCGGAGGCGTTCAGGACTTTTTTCGGGAAGCGAAATAGTGTTGGCTTCGGTGTCTGACATCCAGAGAGGATGCACTTCTTTCCTGGCATTTTTTAGGCTACTGAATTTACTGTACTAGGGTACTCCGTGCACTTGGAGAGATGTACAGGGCATGTAGCAAGTTAACACTGGCCAAGCGACCAAAGCACAGAAAGGGAGGGGCTCAGTAGAACAGGCAACGCTGATGAAGCCTCTTCACCACATGTCAACAACTCTTCGACTTTCGCAGTTGAGTCTAAAAAACAGAAATTTGTCTCAAAACGACTGCTGTACACTTTGGAACTAGAAATGGAACATAACTATTGGTAGCACTTTCTTTTACTGTACAGAACTTACTGTGTAATTACCTAGAAATACATTTTAATAATGTGTAATGAATTAATAAGTGTTTCCATTAGGCTACTCACCATTGCATCCACTATGATTTGTGCCAGATGTTATTCCTGATATCTTGTGAACCAAGCCGACCTCAAGAGGTCCTGTGTAGTTATAAAGTAGAATGAGGAATCAAAGGCTGGCTGATCTGTTCGGTTTATTTGCTGACTAGAGCTAGTTACATGGTATGAAAGTCTCTAGATAGAATAAGTCCTAAATAGAAGTTTGAGTTCAACCTCATGGAAACTCCCCCTCCCATTGTATTGTATCTATGAGCACATTTCAAACAATGACAGCAATAATTGCTGTGGTGTTTACAAACACAAAAGGAAAGGTTGTGGTAGATGTGAGCCATCACAGGTCAGTTCACAGCTCTTACAATCTGACTATTTACAGTATGTTAATGTCTCAAAGAGCTATTTACATAATCAACTGGAAACTGGGTTCTCTTTATCTCTATCCCACTCTTCCCTTTCAATTCAATTCTATTCTATTTCAATTTAAGGGCTTTATTGGCATGGGAAACACATGTTAACATTGCCAAAGCAAGTGAAGTAGATAGTAAACAAAAGTGAAATAAACAATAAATATTAACAGTCAACATTACACTCAGAAGTTCCAAAAGAATAAAGACATTTCAAATGTTATATTATGTACAGTGGGGAAAAAAAGTATTTAGTCAGCCACCAATTGTGCAAGTTCTCCCACTTAAAAAGATGAGAGAGGCCTGTAATTTTCATCATAGGTACACGTCAACTATGACAGACAAATTGAGAAAAAAAAATCTAGAAAATCACATTGTAGGATTTTTAATGAATTTATTTGCAAATTATGGTGGAAAATAAGTATTTGGTCACCTACAAACAAGCAAGTTTTCTGGCTCTCACAGACCTGTAACTTCTTCTTTAAGAGGCTCCTCTGTCCTCCATTCGTTACCTGTATTAATGGCACCTGTTTGAAGTTGTTATCAGTATAAAAGACACCTGTCCACAACCTCAAACAGTCACACTCCAAACTCCACTATGGCCAAGACCAAAGAGCTGTCAAAGGACACCAGAAACAAAATTGTAGACCTGCACCAGGCTGGGAAGACTGAATCTGCAATAGGTAAGCAGCTTGGTTTGAAGAAATCAACTGTGGGAGCAATTATTAGGAAATGGAAGACATACAAGACCACTGATAATCTCCCTCGATCTGGGGCTCCACGCAAGATCTCACCCCGTGGGGTCAAAATGATCACAAGAACGGTGAGCAAAAATCCCAGAACCACACGGGGGGACCTAGTGAATGACCTGCAGAGAGCTGGGACCAAAGTAACAAAGCCTACCATCAGTAACACACTACGCCGCCAGGGACTCAAATCCTGCAGTGCGAGACGTGTCCCCCTGCTTAAGCCAGTTCATGTCCAGGCCCGTCTGAAGTTTGCTAGAGTGCATTTGGATGATCCAGAAGAGGATTGGGAGAATGTCATATGGTCAGATGAATCCAAAATATAACTTTTTGGTAAAAACTCAACTCGTCGTGTTTGGAGGACAAAGAATGCTTAGTTGCATCCAAAGAACACCATACCTACTGTGAAGCATGGGGGTGGAAACATCATGCTTTGGGGCTGTTTTTCTGCAAAGGGACCAGGACGACTGATCCGTGTAAAGGAAAGAATGAATGGGGCCATGTATCGTGAGATTTTGAGTGAAAACCTCCTTCCATCAGCAAGGGCATTGAAGATGAAACGTGGCTGGGTCTTTCAGCATGACAATGATCCCAAACACACCGCCCGGGCAACGAAGGAGTGGCTTCGTAAGAAGCATTTCAAGGTCCTGGAGTGGCCTAGCCAGTCTCCAGATCTCTACCCCATAGAAAATCTTTGGAGGGAGTTGAAAGTCTGTGTTGCCCAGTGACAGCCCCAAAACATCACTGCTCTAGAGGAGATCTGCATGGAGGAAAGGGCCAAAATACCAGCAACAGTGTGTGAAAACCTTGTGAAGACTTACAGAAAACGTTTGACCTGTGTCATTGCCAACAAAGGGTATATAACAAAGTATTGAGAAACTTTAGTTATTGACCAAATACTTATTTTTCCACCATAATTTGCAAATAAATTCATTAAAAATCCTACAATGTGATTTTCTGGGAAAAAAAATGATCATAGTTGACGTGTACCTATGATGAAAATTACAGACCTCTCTCATCTTTTTAAGTGGGAGAACTTGCACAATTGGTGGCTGACTAAATGCTTTTCCCCCACTGTATTACATTTACATTTTAGTCATTTAGCAGACGCTCTTATCCAGAGCGACTTACAGGAGCAATTAGGGTTAAGTGCCTTGCTCAAGGGCACATCGACAGATTTTTCACCTAGTCGGCTCGGGGATTAGAACCAGCGACCTTTCGGTTACTGGCACTACGCTCTTAACCACTAAGCTACCTGCCGCCCCCAACACTGTATTACAACACTGTATATATACAGTGTTGTAACAATGTGCAAAATATGTAAATGGGAAAATAAATAAACATAAATATGGGTTGTATTTACAATGGTGTTTGTTCTTCACTGGTTGCCCTTTTCTTGTGGCAACATGTCACAAATCTTGCTGCCGTGATGGCACACTGTGGTTTTTCACCCAGTAGATAAGGGAGTTTATCAAAATTGGGTTTGTTTTCAAATTCTTTGTGGATCTCTGTAATCTGAGGGAAATATGTGTCTCTAATATGGTCATACAGTTGGCAGGAGGTTAGGAAGTGCAGCTCAGTTTCCACCTCATTTTGTGGGCAGTCATAGCATGACATAGCATGTCTTCTCTTGAGAGCCAGGTCTGCCAGTCTGTACATAGTCAAAGCTTTCCTTAAGTTTGGGTCAGTCACAGTGGTCAGGTATTCTGCCACTGTGTACTCTCTGTTTAAAGCCAAATAGCATTCTAGTTTGCTCAATTTTTTTTTTAATTCTTTCCAATGTGTCAAGTAATTCTCTTTTTGTTTTCTCATGATTTGGTTGGGTCTAATTGTGTTGTTGTTGTTGTACTGGGGCTCTGTTTGTTGTGAACAGATCCCCAGGACCAGCTTACTTAGGGGACTCTTCTCCAAGTTCATATTTTATTATTATTATTAGTCATTTAGCAGACGCTCTTATCCAGAGCGACATACAGGAGCAATTAGGGCTAAGTGCCTTGCTCATGGGCACATCGACAGATTTTTCACCTAGTCGGCTCGGGGATTAGAACCAGCGACCTTTCGGATACTGGCACAAGGCTCTTAACCACTAAGCTACCTGCCAACTCTCTGTAGGTGATGGCTTTGTTATGGAAGGTTTGGGAATCGCTTCCTTTTAAGTGGTTATAGAATTTAACGGCTCTTTTCTGGATTTTGATCATTAGCGGGTATCGGCCTAATTCTGCTCTGCATGCATTATTTTGTGTTTTTCATGGTACACAGAGGATGTTTTTGCAGAATTCTGCATGCAGAGTCTCAATTTGGTGTTTGTCCCATTTTGTGAATTCTTGATTGGTGAGCGGACCCCAGACCTCACAACCATAAAGGGCAATGGGTTCTATAACTGATTCAAGTATTTTTAGCCAGATCCTAATTGGTATGTCAAATTGTATGTACCTTTTGATGGCATAGAAGGCCCTTCTTGCCTTGTCTCTCAGATCGTTCACAGCATTGTGGAAGTTACCTGTGGCGCTGATGTTTAGACCGAGGTATGTATAGTTTGTGTGCTCTAGGGCAACGGTGTCTAGATGGAATTTGTATTTGTGGTCCTGGCAACTGGACCTTTTTTGGAACACCACTATTTTTGTCTTACTGAGATTTACTGTCAGGGCCCAGGTCTGAAAGAATCTGTGCAGAAGATCTAGGTGCTGCTGTAGACCCTCCTTGGTTGGTGACAGAAGCACCAGATCATCAGCAAACAGTAGACATTTTACTTCAGATTCTAGTAGGGTGAGGCCGGGTGCTGCAGACTGTTCAAGTGCCCTGGCCAATTCGTTGATATATATGTTGAAGAGAGTGGGGCTTAAACTGCATCCCTGTCTCACACCACGGCCCTGTGGAAAGAAATGTGTGTGTTTTTTGCCAATTTTAACTGCACACTTGTTGTTTGTGTACATGGATTTTATAATGTCGTATGTTTTTTCCCCCAACCCCACTTCCATCAATTTGTATAGCAGACCCTCATGCCAAATTGAGTCAAAAGCTTTTTTTTAAATCAACAAAGCATGAGAAGACTTTGCCTTTGTTTTGGTTTGTTTGTCAATTAGGGTGTGCAGGGTGAATACGTGGTCTGTCGTACAGTAATTTGGTAAAAAGCCAATTTGACATTTGCTCAGTACATTGTTTTCACTGAGGAAATGAACTAGTCTGCTGTTAATGATAATGCAGAGGATTTTCCCAAGGTTGCTGTTGATGCATATCCCACGGTAGTTAATGGGGTCATATTTGTCTCCACTCTAGTGGATTGGGGTGATCAGTCCTTGGTTCCAAATATTGAGGAAGATGCCAGAGCTAAGGATGATGTTAAAGAGTTTAAGTATAGCCAATTGGAATTTGTGGTCTGTATATTTTATCATTTCATTGAGGATAACATCAAGACCACAGGCCTTTTTGGGTTGGAGGGTTTTTATTTTGTACTGTAGTTCATTCAATGTAATTGGAGAATCCAGTGGGTTCTGGTAGTCTTTAATAGTTGATTCTAAGATTTGCATTTGATCATGTATATTTTTTTGCTGTTTGTTCCTTGTTATAGGGCCAAAAAGATTGGAGAAGTGGTTTACCCATACATCTCCGTTTTGGATAGATAGCTCTTCGTGTTGTTGTTTGTTTAGTGTTTTCCAATTTTCTCAGAAGTGGTTAGAGTCTATGGATTCTTCAATTACATTGAGCTGATTTCTGACATGCTGTTCCTTCTTTTTCCGTAGTGTATTGTTTTAGTGATTCTTCATAGTGAAGGCGTAGGCTCAGGTTTTCTGGGTCTCTATGTTTTTGGTTGGATAGGTTTCTCAATTTCTTTCTTAGGTTTTTGCATTCTTCATCAAACCATTTGTCACTGTTGTTACTTTTCTTTGGTTTTCTGTTAGAGATTTTTAGATTTGATAGGGAAGCTGAGAGGTCAAATATACTGTTTGGGTTTTCTACTGCCAAGTTTACACCTTCACTATTAAAGTGGAACGTTTTGTCCAGGAAGTTTTCTAAAAGGGATTGAATTTGTTGTTGCCTAATTGTTTTTTGGTAGGTTTCGACACTACTTTCCTTCCATCTATAGCATTTCTTAATATTATTCAGTTCCTTTGGCTTTGATGCCTCATGATTGAGTATTGCTCTGTTCAAGTAGACTGTAATTTTGCTGTGGTCTGATTGGGGTGTCAGTGGGATGACTGTGAACGCTCTGAGAGACTCTGGGTTGAGGTCAGTGATAAAGTAGTCTACAGTACTATTGCCAAGAGATGAGCTATAGGTGTACCTACCATAGGAGTCCCCTCGAAGCCTACCATTAACCATGTACATACCCAGTGTGCGACAGAGCTGCAAGAGTTGTGACCCGTTTTGGTTGGTTATGTTGTCATAGTTGTGCCTAGGGGGGCATATGGGGGAGGGAATGCTGTCACCTCCAGGTAGGTGTTTGTCCCCCTGTGTGCTGAGGGTGTCAGGTTCTTGTCCAGTTCTGACATTGACGTCACCACAGACTAGTACCTGGGTCTGGAAATTATCTTTCTTTCTGTCTCTTTCTCCCTCTTTCTTTCCTTATCTTCCTCCATCCTCATGTCTCTCTCTCTCTATCCCCAGAGTGTGCCCATGGCTGGTTTGGGGCGGACTGTGCTCTGCCCTGTGAGTGTTTGAATGGTGGTGTGTGTGACCGTCGCATTGGAGAGTGCAGCTGTGGCCCGGGCTGGGTAGGACAGCACTGTCAGACAGGTAAGGAATAAGTATCCTAAACATATTACCTTAAAACCTGTACTTTCTTACACTCTGACCTGACTTACTGAGTGTATGTGTACGTGTGTGTATGTGTCTTGTCACTGTATGTGCATGTTTGTGTCTGAGCAGGAGTAGTAACAGATCACATCAAATCAAATTTTATTTGTCACATGCGCCGAATACAACAGTGAAATGCTTACTTACAAACCCTTAACCAACATTGCAGTTTTACGAAAGAATACCAAAAAATTGACAAAGAAATGATCAGTCTATAATTTTTATGGTAGGTTTATTTGAACAGTGAGAGACAGAATAACAACAAAAAAATCCAGAAAAACGCATGTCAAAAATGTTATAAATTGATTTGCATTTTTATGAGGGAAATAAGTATTTGACCCCTCTGCAAAACATGACTTAGTACTTGGTGGCAAAACCCTTGTTTTGTCCCACTCCTCTTTGCATATCTTCTCCAAGTCATTAAGGTTTCGAGGCTGACGTTTGGCAACTCGAACCTTCAGCTCCCTCCACAGATTTTCTATGAGATTAAAGGTCTGGAGACTGGCTAGGCCACTCCAGGACCTTAATTGTGCTTCTTCTGAGCACTCCTTTGTTGCCGTTGCCATGTGTTTTGGGTCATTGTCATGCTGGAATACCCATCCACAACCCATTTTCAATGCCCTGGCTGAGGGAAGGGGGTTCTAACCCAAGATTTGACGGTACATTGGCCCCGTCCATCGTCCCTTTGATGCGGTGAGTTGTCCTTTCGCCCTTAGCAGAAACACCCCCAAGCATAATGTTTTCCCCCTCCATGTTTGACGGGGGGGATGGTGTTCTGGGGTCCATAGGCAGCATTCCCCTCCTCAAACAACGGCGAGTTAATTTGATCCCCAGAGCTCCATTTTGGTCTCATCTGACCACAACACTTCACCAGTTCTGCTCTGAATCATTCAGATGTTCATTGGCAAACGTCATACGGGCCTGTATATGTGCTTTCTTGAGTCAGGGACCTGCGGGCGCTGCAGGATTCATCTTCACGGCGTATGTGTTTACAATTGTTTTTCCTTTGGTGACTATCGTCCCCGCTGCCTTGAGATCATGACTAATCCTCCCGTGTGTCTGGGCTATTCCTCACCGTTTCTCATGATCATTGGCAACGCCACGAGGTGAGATCTTGCATGGAGCCCCAGGCCGAGGGAGATTGACAGGTTAGTTTGGGTGTTCTTCCATTTGGCAATAATCGCACCAACTGTTTGTCACCTTCTTACCAAGCCGCGTTGGCGATGGGTCTTGTAGCCCATTCCAGCCTTGTGTAGGTCTACACTCTTGTCCCTGACATCCTTGGAGAGCTTTTTGGTCTTGGCCATGGTGGAGAGTTTGGAATCTGATTGATTGATTGCTTCTGTGGACAGGTGTCTTTTATACAGGTAACAAGCTGAGATTAGGAGCACTCCCTTTAAGAGTGTGCTCCTAATCTCAGCTCGTTACCTGTATAAAAGACACCTGGGAGTCAGAAATCTTTCAGATTGAGAGGGGGTCAAATACTTATTTCCCTCATTAAAATACAAATCAATTTATAACATTTTTGACATGTGTTTTTCTGGATTTTTGTGTTGTTATTCTGTCTCTCACTGTTCAAATAAACCTACCAATAAAATTATAGACTGGTCATGTCTTTGTCAGTGGGCAAACGTACAAAATCAGCAGGGGATCAAATACTTTTGTAATATGTACATGTAGGTAGAGTTATTAAAGTGACTGTGCATAGATAATAAACAGAGAGTAGCAGCAGCGTAAAAGAGGGGGGGGGGGGGGGCAATGCAAATAGTCTGGGTAGCCATTTTATTAGATGTTCGGGAGTCTTATGGCTTGGGGGTAGAAGCGGTTTAGAAGCCTCTTGGACCTAGACTTGGCGCTCTGGTACCGCTTGCCGTGCGGTAGCAGAGAGAACAGTGTATGACTAGGGTGGCTGGAGTCTTTGACAATTTGTAGGGCCTTCCTCTGACACCGCCTGGTATAGAGGTCCTGGATGGCAGGAAGCTTGGCCCCAGTGATGTACTGGACCGTACGCACTACCCTCTGTAATGCCTTGCGGTCGGAGGCCAAGCAGTTGCCATACCAGGCAGTGATGCAACCAGTCAGGATGCTCTCGATGGTGCAGCTGAAGAACCTTTTGAGGATCTGAGGACCCATGCCAAATCTTTTCAGTCTCCTTAGGTTTTGTCGTGCCCTCTTCACGACTGTCTTGGTGTGCTTGGAACATGTTAGTTTGTTGGTGATGTGGACACCAAGGAACTTGAAGCTCTCAACCTGTTCCACTACAGCCTTGTTGATGAGAATGGGGGCGTGCTCGGTCCTCTTCTTTTTCCTGTAGTCCACAATCATCTGCTTTGTCTTGATCACGTTGAGGGAGAGGTTGTTGTCCTGGGGATTATGTAAACTAACTCTAATCAGCCTGGATTTTTTTGGAATTACTTAATCTAATAAAAGGAACATTTGATAAAACTTTATAAGCATCTCTGTTATTTAGCGCACCCTCAAGACTTCTCACTTTCTCATCTCAGAAAGATTCTATTGCCCTGCTAATCACCCATCAAGGGTGGATGGCTTCTTTTGTATTCATACTGGTTGGTTGACTCAATAGTTGGCCTCCAAACCATTTACATCTGGCCCACAGGTCAATTAGTCGTCTGGACTCCACAGAGTTCCTGCTTGCTGCTTTGTAGCCTATGTACTTTCGCTCTCTCTGTAGTAGTGGGAGAAAAAAATTCTGGTTGCACAACATTTCAAAATGTTTTGAACATGGTGCTTACATACGGAACAGCAAGAGGAACTGCACCTACCTTCAGGCTATGCCAAACCCTACACCCCAACCCGAGCACTCAGGTCTCTTGACCCTCCCACCCCTACGGGAGGGTAGCTCCAGCTCAGCCCCGTCCAAGCTCTTCTCTGTCCTGGCACCCCAACTGTGGAACCAGCTTCCCCCCGAAGCTAAGTCCCTGCCCATCTTCCAAAAATCTCTGAAACCCTACCTCTTCAAAAAGTATCTTAAATAGTCCTGCTCCTCACCTCGATCCCCTCACACTGCCTAGTTGCCCTTCTCCCAACTGGTGGCACTACAGCTGCCCGTCGGAGCAAGCTGATGCTTATTTTATATACAGTACCAGTCAAAAGTTAGACAAGGGTTTTTCTTTATTTTTACTATTTTCTACATTGTAGAATAATACTGAAGACATCAAAACTATGAAATAACACATACGGAATCATGTAGTAACCAACAAAGTGTTAAACAAATCAAAATATATTGTTATATTTGAGATTCTTCAATCTAGCCACCCTTTGCTTTGATGACAGCTTTGCACACTCTTGGCATTCTCTCAACCAGCTTCACCTAGAATGCTTTTCCAACAGTCTTGAAGGAGTTCCCATATATGCTGAGCACTTGTTGGCTGCTTTTCCTTCACTCTGTGGTCCAACTCATCCCAAACAATCTCAATTGGGTTGAGGTCCAGTGATTGTGGAGGCCAGGTCATCTGATGCAGCACTCCATCACTCTCCTTCTTGGTCAAATAGCCCTTACACAGCCTGGAGGTGTGTTGGGTCATTGTTCTGTTGAAAAACAAATGATAGTCCCACTAAGCGCAAACCAGATGGAATGGCGTATCGCTGCAGAATGCTGTGGTAGCCATGCTGGTTAAGTGTGACTTGAATTCTAAATAAATCACAGACAGTGTCACCAGCAAAGCACCCCCACACCATAACACCTCCTCCTCCATGCTTCACAGTGGGAACCACACATGCAGAGCTCATCCGTTCACCTACTCTGCGTCTCACAAAGACACGGCGGTTGGAACCAAAAATCTCAAATTTGGACTGATGAGACCAAAGGACAGATTTCCACCAGTCTAATGTCCATTGCTTGTGTTTCTTGGCCCAAGCAAGTCTCTTCTTATTATTGGTGTCCTTTAGTAGTGGTTTCTTTGCAGCAATTCAACCATGAAGGCCTGATTCACCAAAAATCAAAAAATCTCAAATTTGGACTGATGAGACCAAAGGACAGATTTCCACCAGTCTAATGTCCATTGCTTGTGTTTCTTGGCCCAAGCAAGTCTCTTCTTATTATTGGTGTCCTTTAGTAGTGGTTTCTTTGCAGCAATTCAACCATGAAGGCCTGATTCACGCAGTCTCCTCTGAACAGTTGATGTTGAGATGTGTCTGCTACTTGAACTCTGTGAAGCATTTATTCTGAGGCTGGTAACTCTAATGAACTTATCCTCTGCAGCAGAGGTAACTATGGGTCTTCCTTTCCTGTGGCGGTCCTCATGAGAGCTAGTTTCATCATAGCGCTTGATGGTTTTTGCGACTACACTTGAAGAAACGTTCAAAGTTCTTGAAATGTTCCAGATTGACTAACATTCATGTCTTAAAGTAATGATGGACTGTCGTTTCTCTTTGCTTATTTGAGCTGTTCTTGCCATATAATAATAATAATAATAATAAGCCATTTAGCAGACGCTTCTATCCAAAGCGACTTACAGTCATGTGTGCATACATTTTTACGTATGGGTGGTCCCCGGGATCGAACCCACTACCCTTGCGTTACAAGCACCATGCTCTACCAATTGAGCTACAGAGGACCATAATATGGACAGGTTCTTTTACCAAATAGGGCTATCTTCTGAAAAAAACCCCTACCTTGTCACAACACAACTGATTGGCTCAAACACAATAAGAAGGAAAGAAATTCCACAAATTAACTTTTAATAAGGCACACCTGTTAATTGAAATGCATTCCAGGTGACTACCTCATGTCACTGAAGCTGAAGCTGGTTGAGTATCTGGAGCATCAGCAATTGTGGGTTTGATTAACTTTCTTCTGAAACTTGTCAGTCTATTCTTGTTCTGAGAAATGAAGGCTACTCCATGTGAGAAATTGCCAAGAAACTGAAGATCTCGTACAACGCTGTGTACTACTCCCTTCACAAACAGGCTCTAACCAGAATAGAAAGAGGAGTGGGAGGCCCCGGTGCACAACTGAGCAAGAGGACAAATACATTAGTGTCTAGTTTGAGAAACAGACACCTAACAGGTCCTCAACTGGCAGCTTCATTAAATAGTACCCGCAAAACACCAGTCTCAACATCAACAGTGAAGAGGCGACTCCGGGATGCTGACCTTCTAGGCAGAGTTGCAAAGAAAAAGCCATATCTCAGACTGGCCAATAAAAAGAAAAGATTAAGATGGGCAGTCTGAGATATGTCTTTTTCTTTGCAACTCTGCCTAGAAGGTCAGCATCCCGGAGTTGCCTTTTTACTGTTGACGTTGTATTTCTGATCAATTTGATGTTATTTTAATGGATCAAAAAATTGCTTTTCTTTCGAAAACAAGGACATTTCTAAGTGACCCCAAACTTTTGAACGGTAGTGTATATTTTCATATAGTTCCAAAATACACTGAACAAGAATATAATTGCAACATGCAACAATTTCTACGATTTTACTGAGTTACGCTATTCCAAACAAGAGTCCTACATTACATTTTTTGTTAACTTTATTCAGTTTATTATAATGGGAAATTGGAAATCTAGTAAAGAGGTCAGTTGACTGTGATAAATAAAAAAGTATATCAGTTTCACTTAAGGACCAAAGGATTGACAGCAGTCCCATATAGATTGCAAAATAGTTGGGAAGAGATCTTTGACGTACCGATCCCATGGCATAGTGTTTATGAACTGACACGCAAAACGACACCGGATTCAAAAATTAGAATCTTTCAATTTAAATTATTATATAAAATTCTTGCTACCAATAGAATGTTATTTATATGGGGGATACAATCTTCCCAGCTCTGCAGATTTTGCTGTGAAGAGATAGAATCATTAGATCATTTGTTTTGGTTCTGTCCATTTGTAGCTTGTTTTTGGACACAGGTCCAGGAATGGCTAAAGGATTGCAATATTTACCTGGAACTAACCTTGCAGATAGCATTACTGGGTGATCTGAAAAGTCATAGTCAATCAATCAATAATATAATAATACTTTTAGCAAGAATGTTTATTTTTAATTCACAATCTGTAGAAGCAATGAGAATAGAAAGGTTCAGAACTTTTGTAAAACATCACAGTACGGTTGAAATATATATGGCAAATAGAAATCCTATATGGATGGTGTTAAGAGATAGATGGGAGGTATTGAATAGAGTTGAAGGATGGGACTAATAACAAATAACAACAAATAATAACAAAGATAGCTAATAATGTAAGCATACTGTGTCCATAATAAGTATATAGGTTGTATGTTGGGAGCTTTTGGGAAAGAGCACAGTTAGAAGGATATGGCATTTAGAAGCAAACCGGATGGACATCATGAAAATGATCGGAGAGGTTGAGAGTAGAATAAGTTCAGGAGCAAAAAAATAAATAAATATATATTTTTTTATATATATATAGATATAGAATTATTGTAAAATTAACTCTGTCCATAAGGTGTAGATAGTAAGTATAGACCGGAAGTAGAGGCCTGGGCGTTGTTGTTCACTGATTTACTCCAAGTAGGGAAAGGATGGTGGGGTTGAAAAGTAATAAAGGGGAATATATATATAAAAAATAAAAAAAAACATGGGGGATTGGAAGTGATGCAGACAATTACATTGATAGAAGATACAATCTATCTGCAATATTAAGCTGATCCATCCCCCCCGAAAGAAAAATAAATAAAAATAAATAAAAAATTAATAAAAAATATACCTAAGTAACTAACAAGATTGCACAACAGGTTGAAAGAGTTCTGGAGCAGCCCCCGCAATAAAACAGGACATCAGTGTTCTGGAATCAGTCAATGCCGCACTGAAGCCTTTGGCCAACTTCACTGATGTCCTATCTGGGAAGACCTATGTGACAGTGTCGTCAGTTAAGCCCATTCTACAACTTTTAACGTGGAAAATTTTCACTCCAAACCCCCACAACTCCAAGCTCACAAGAAATATGAAAACGAGAGATGGGCAGTGTATTGCAGCACAAGTACAGTGCACCGTAACTACAGGGACTTTAGTCAAAGGCCTCCCTTCTCGACCCCCGGTACAAAGGCAGGAGGAGAGATTGCTTGGGGGCCACGAAAGAAACCCTAGGCCTACTTTGGGAGATATTGGAACTGGGGGCAGTACGCAGAGTCGGCGCCAGTGGTGCCGCTGCCACTACAGCTGGAGACTGGGATGGCTGTGCACCTCCCCCAGCTAAAAATAGGAATCTAGGGTATCTTATTAAGAAGGAAATGGGCCCTCTAAGCTTCCCTCCGCCACCATGATGATGCGCTATTTGAAAGAGGAGGTACTGGATGCATCAGATAACCCTTTTGTCATGGTGGCGGGATAACCACTCTTGCTTTCCTTTCTTGGCTCAACTTGCAAAGAAGTATATGTGCATTTGTGCAACCAGCACTGCGCCCAAGAGAGTGTTCAACACAGCAGGGAACATCTCTGTCCAGTCTTCACTGAACCCAGATAAAGTAAACATTCTGGAGTTTCTTGCTTGGAACCTCAAGGAGGAGGAAGACTTAAAAGCTTACAGCCTAACTTTGGTGTGTGCTATAGGCCTACTATAGCAGACTAGCCTAAAAATAGACAATGGCTTTGTGAGTACATGGCACATCTTTGCTTTTTACAATTTGTTTATGAGAGATAATAGGCCCTATTGCCTTTTTTTATAGCTTACACTTTGAGTGCAACAGCCTACCATAGCCCTATTTTTGCTTTTTCATTCAACAATTTGTTTATAAGAAGAAATGTAGCATTTCTTTAAATCTATGTTTTGAAAGGTTTAGGGCTGTATTTATGGCAGTCTCTTGCTCTGTTTTTTGTTGTTGTCTATACTAAAGCCTAAGTACAGGTACTTGTTGTTGCAATGCTAATGTCTTTATATCATCCCAGTAAAAACGTACACCTTTGGCCGACATATCAAATTCTTTAGGTAATATTTCGTTTGGAGAGCGTTTGCACATTGGGAAGACGTCGCCGAGACATCAGAATAGAATGTTCTAAATACATCTGCAAGACGTCTTGCCAATAGGCAAACTATGCCTAAACTGCATCATCCCGAAGTATCCTCTATACATCGTGCCTATGTTGTGCAGACATACAGTTGAAGTCGGAAGTTTACATACACCTTAGCCAAATACATTTAAACTCAGTTTTTTCAGTTCTACCCACACATTTTCTATAGGATTGAGGTCAGGGCTTTGTGATGGCCACTCCAATACCTTGACTTTGTTGTCCTTAAGCCATTTTGCCACAACTTTGGAAGTATGCTTGGGGTCATTGTCCATTTGGAAGACCCATTTGCGACCAAGCTTTAACTTCCTGACTGATGTCTTGAGATGTTGCTTCAATATATATACATACTTTTCCTTCCTCATGATGCCATCTATTTTGTGAAGTGCACCAGTCCCTCCTGCAGCAAAGCACCCCCACAGCATGATGCTGCCACCCCCATGCTTCACGGTTGGGATGGTGTTCTTCGGCTTGCAAGATACCCCCTTTTTCCTCCAAACATATCAATGGTCATTATGGCCAAACAGTTCTATTTTTGTTTCATCAGACCAGAGGACATTTCTCCAAAAAGTACGATCTTTGTCCCCATGTGCAGTTGCAAACCGTAGACTGGCTTTTTTATGGCGGTTTTGGAGCAGTGGCTTCTTCCTTGCTGAGTGGCCTTTCAGGTTATGTCGATATAGGACTTGTTTTATTGTGGATATAGATACTTTTGTACCCGTTTCCTCCAGCATCTTCACAAGGTCCTTTGCTGTTGTTTTGGGAATGATTTGCACTTTTCGCACCAAAGTACGTTCATCTCTAGGAGACAGAACACGTCTCCTTCCTGAGCGGTATGACGGCTGCGTGGTGTTTATACTTGCGTACTATTGTTTGTACATATGAACGTGGTACCTTCAGGTGTTTGGAAATTGCTCCCAAGGATGAACCAGACTTGTGGAGGTCTACAATTTTTTTTCTGAGGTCTTGGCTGATTTCTTTTGATTTTCCCATGATGTCAAGCAAAGAGGCACTGAGTTTGAAGGTAGGCCTTGAAATACATCCACAGGTCCAATTGACTCCAATGATGTCAATTAGCCTATCAGAAGCTTCTAAAGCCATGACATAATTTTCTGGAATTTTCCAAGCTGTTTAAAGGCACAGTCAACTGACCCACTAGAATTGTGATACAGTGAATTATAAGTGAAATAATCTGTCTGTAAACAATTGTTGGAAAAATGACTTGTGTCATGCACAAAGTAGATTTCCTAACCGACTTGCCAAGACTATAGTTTGTTAACAAGACATTTTTGGAGTGGTTGAAAAATGAGTTTGAATGACTCCAACCTAAGTGTATGTAAACTTCCGACTTCAACTGTATGTGTGCTATCTGTACATTGCTTTCTGGTGCTTTTGGTTTTTTAAATAAAAAAAATAAAAAAATGTAAAACATTGGATGTGTTTGTGTATGCTTAATCACAACAGCAACAACAACAGCGTAATAGGGCTCCCGAGTGGCGCAGTGGTCTAAGGCACTGGATCTCAGTGCTTGAGGCGTCACTACAGACCCCCTGGTTCGATTCCAGGCTGTATTAAAATCCGGCCGTGATTGTGAGTCCCATAGGGCGGCGCACAATTGGCACAGCGTCGTCCGGGTTTGGCCGGTGTAGGCCGTCATTGTAAATAAGAATTTGTTCTTAACTGACTTGCCTAGTTAAATAAAGGTAAAAAATATATAGATAATCTTTGATAATGGTGATGGTGGTAGTAGCCTATAGAAGGCTTTTGTCTCCAAGCCAAGGGTAGGAGTTCCGTCTAGCGGTTGAATATGAGAAGCAGTAGTGCACAGGAGAATAAGCACTTTGACAGCAGTTATTAAACATGTTTTTGTCTTTTGTGCACTTGTGTCCTAAACAGCGTGTGGGGCTGGCCTGTTTGGCCCAGGGTGTGAGGAGCAGTGTCAATGTAACCATGGGGCTGTGTGTGACCATGTCAGCGGAGTGTGTGTGTGTCCTCCTGGCTGGAGGGGACCCAAGTGTGACCGAGGTAAGGCCTGAGTGCTGATCTATGATCAGTGTTGCCTTTTAGATCATAATGAATAAGATTACATGGACAGGGGATACCTGATCATACATCAGCAAACCTACTCTGAGGCGCTTTATGAATACAGGTCATGATATATAGTAAAATATTAATGTATAGTAACTATTTATTACAAGGACCTGTATATACTGTAAATCACAACAGACTGTATGCATTGCCTTAATTGAACATATGTAATTTCCACATTCACCACAGCCTGTTTACCTGGCTCCTATGGGAAGGACTGTCTGAGCTACTGTAACTGTCCCCACGGCACTTCCTGTAACCATGTGTCCGGCAAATGTGGCTGTCCCCCTGGATTCACTGGCAATGGCTGTGAGCAAAGTGAGTGACTTGGGAAAGCTGAAGGATAGTGTATTGTACTGTTTTTCTTGTTTTGTGTTGCATTGTGCTTAACAAAATAACAGACTCTGCAATGACACATGCAATGATTGAAAATCAGCTGTTTAGCATCCTGACAAGTTAGCATTAGTTTGGTGATAGATTGTGGTGTGTCATAGTGTATTAAGTGCCTGTAGAGGGAGCTATAGTCTAGCCTAGAAGCTAGAGCCAGAGGGATAGGAGAATAGAGTCACGGAGAACAGAATTCTATTGCCATATTTGAATAATCCAGAAATGTATCCGTGGTTCCTTGAGGTAAGCACAGATCTAGTATGCTTTCACCATCACCAATCCAACCATTGCAGATCTATGATAACCTCAAGGAAAGTAGGAAGGAAGGATGCATTTCTGAAGTATTCGAACAGGGCCTATGAGGTAGATATGCATTGTATGTAATGGTGGTGCTGATTGAAACGGCAGTAAATATACGTATTGTTTTCTTATTACTTCTACGGTAGGCATACTGTACCTTTGTTGTATGGGGTTGACGTGTGTGTTTTGTGTTTGTCTACCAGTATGCCAACCTGGCACGTATGGGCTGAACTGTAACCAGGTGTGCCAGTGCTCTGGCACCAACCAGCTGTGTCACCCTGTCACCGGCCTCTGCGTCTGTGCCCCGGGTTACCATGGCAACAACTGTGATCAAGGCAAGCACCCCACACACATACACAGACAGGCACACACTTCCTTAACCAATGTCACAAAGGAATTCCACTGTTAAAAATGTGTTAGCTTACAATAGTCATAGTTAGGTTCAGGAATTTTTCCACAATGTGACCTGATCAGGAAGAACTCTTGGCCCTAGTTATGACATCACCTGATCAGAAAAAAACGTTTCTCTTACCAGTAGGAAATGTTCTAACCATAATAACTACCACAACTAAGTCCTGTGTATGTTTGCCTTGATAGAGTGTGACATGGGACGGTATGGCCCAAACTGTGAACGCCTGTGCCAGTGTCTGAATGCCGGCGTGTGCCAGACCACCACGGGCACCTGTCAGTGCCCATCGGGGTACATCGGAGCAGACTGCAACACCAGTGAGTGCGAACGTGTGCCAGGGGAATGGGCTTATCCATAGGCTACTGACAGAAGGAGGGGGAGATTACATTTTCATATAATACATTGATATTTACAGAGTATTTAGTTGTAAATGGTAATTGCATAATTATATAAAAAATATATTTTAATTTATTTTTGATCCTATAACACAAGCAGTACCATATAACATTTGGTATGGTCTCCTCTCTTTCCCCTATCTTTTCCTCTGGTTCTACCAGCATGCCTGTCAGGGCGCTATGGGCAGGACTGTGCCAGGGTGGCGCTGTGTGGTGAAGGGGCACAGAGTGACCCAGAGACAGGCAGGTGTGTGTGCAAGGCTGGCCAGCGGGGAGAAGACTGCAGACAGGGTAAAATACACACATATTTCAGTTTATTCTTGCTCCACAATGAGTGTCATCAATGTAATAATCCACCCAGTCAAGGTTTATCGACAGTATGGTATGTGTTTGTGTGTGTCAGGTTGTGCCCAGGGCTGGTATGGGGAAGACTGTGGCCAGCACTGTAACTGCAGTAACGGTGGTGTGTGTGAACTCGTCTCTGGAGGCTGTACCTGCGGACTAGGCTGGACCGGACCCAGCTGTGATACAGGTGACCTGACTATACATACTATTTTAATTCTTTCAATGACTTTGCGCATTTGCTTTAGCCAGCCTGGAGTGCAAGGTAGGTGATGTTTGCAAAGACATTTATATTGGTTCAATTGGATGAGGCAAGCTCAATCAAGCACATACACAGTATTTAAATTATTTCAAATAGTATTTAAACCCAGGTCGTGACAACCATGTCAACAACTCACATTTCCCATACTCCTCATTGTGTTGTTTTGTGAATTGATGTGAAGACTCCATTTGAGTGCCCCTGATATCATGAGCCCATGACACCATTCCATTGCATACCCATGACAAGGTGTTGTGTGTGTTTCTGTTGCTTGGTCATGCAGAGTGCCCATCAGGGAGTTACGGGGCCAACTGCAAACTGCGGTGTGATTGTCATAACAACGGGACATGTGACAGAGTGACGGGAGAGTGCCGGTGTGACCCGGGATACTATGGTCACCTGTGTGAACACGGTGAGGCAGGGCCATTCAGTCTGTCTGATGTTCTGTTGTTCTTATGGTCTGTTTGATGTTCTAAAGTTCTACTATTCTGTCTGATGTTCTGTCTAGCTTGCCCTGCTGGTTTCCATGGCCACCGCTGTCAACACCAGTGTAAGTGCCGAGGCCTCGCCCCCTGTGACCCAAGCACAGGGCACTGTCTCTGCCCTCCTGGTTACCATGGATACCGCTGTGAGAAAGGTGAAAAGCGTGTTTAACAATCAGAAATAAGGATTATGCTGAGATTTATTAGATACCATTGCTGATAAAGTGGGAATGTTACATGCCCCAGTCATAGTCTTTTACCTACAATGCTGAAGGATGGGGACTACTTTCCATTCTCATATCCATGTGTGCCCTGAATGCTACACCCCCCCTCTCATTCCCTGTCACAGAGTGTGAGCAGCATCGTTTCGGGGTGAACTGCAACCAGTCATGTGACTGTGAGGGGGACACCCCATGTGACCCCATGACCGGCCACTGTCTGTGCCCCCCAGGGAAGATGGGAATGCGCTGTGACACAAGTAGTTGTTTGCTTCTTTTTATTTATCTAATATCTAAGTAGTGTGATTTATCAACATTTTTCAAACAACTATGGGGCGACTCCTAACTTCCACTTAAGTCAAATGTTCACTTAGTCTCCCATTAACATCAATGAAGTTAGACTTAAAGTCAATGTAAGGATTCAACCATGCCTAACAACACTATAATCTAAAAGTGTTGTCGCACTTCTTGCGTCCCTGTCTGGGTTGTGTCCAGATTGTCCAGTGAACCTCTACGGCCCGGACTGTTCTGAGAGCTGTGAGTGTAGGAACGGGGCGCGGTGTGATCCACGGAACGGCCGCTGCACCTGTCTACAGGGCTGGATAGGACCCACCTGTCAGGAAGGTACGTGTATTAATAAGGTGACGGGACAGAGCAGGCACAGTATTATGGGCACTATAGTACATTCTACACTAAGAACTGCATGACTAGGAGAAATATCCCACTGATTAAGGTGCTACACAATAACACACATGTACAGAGACATTTAAGATCAAATAAAATAAAACTCGAAACACACTTTACAATAAAAATAAAGGAGATAAAAAGCAAGCAGGAGGCAATAGAATATATGAATAAAAGAACATAAATAAAAAGTATAACATGATAGTGAAAGCTGTTTTATAGGAATTCAATCTAAAACAAATAATGCTCTCTCTTCTCTCTCTGTCTTCTCATCTGCAGGAGGGTCCTCACGTCTCCACAGCCGTCCCAACAGAAATGAAGAAAATAATCACTCACACTCTCCTGTTCCAGTATAGCACCCCCTACTGACTGACCCCCAGCTGGGGTTTACAGGTCACCTCTAGAGGCCACAGCGCTCCAAACTGAACTGACACACTCTCAAAACAATAGACTGTTTATACAGAGATGGGAGTGCAATGGCTGGGACTTGATGAACTAAATACCAGTAGGTGTCACCAGAGAATTTGTACCGAGACCGTCTATTGGTGTCAGAGCCGGGACCTATGAACTGGAGATGCCATTTATGGAGAGTTGTCTAATCGCAGACATTGAGACAATGGAGTTCACATAACACATTACATCATAGGATTGACTCTGCTACACGTCACGCTACGGGGTTGACTCTGCTACACTTTGCGTGACAGGGTTGACTCTTATATACTTTTTGTTACGAGGTTGACTATCCTACTCTTCAAGTTACGGGGTTGACGCTTATACACTTTACGTGACGGGGTTGACTCTTCTATACCTTTCGTTACGAGGTTGACTATCCTACACTTCACGCTATGGGGTTGACTCTGCTACACTTTGCTTGACTGGGTTGACTCTTCTATACTTTTTGTTACGGGGTTGACTCTGCTACACTTCATGTTATACGGTTGACTCTCAAAGGTACTTAAGAGTTACCAGACACTGGGACACTTTTTCTTGCTTGCCCTGTATAAGAGGACATTTCATTGCGTGTACGTTGTGTGTATGTAAATGTGTTCACGTCTACAATACAATTATGTTGTACTTATACTCTCACGATATGGTAGTACCTCATTGGAAGGAGGTTTTCACATGGAGGATATTTGCATTACGTTGACAGAATTTGTTGTACTTTGGAGTAATATCATTGAAGTTGTAGTGCTGCTTATTGGCTTCTCCAAAAACAATAGGCTACACACACATGATCCATTTGTTCTCTTTGCTGCCACCATTGCACTATACAGACTCCTATGACACAGTTGATTTAAAAATAAGAAACAATTCAGGATAATGTTGATCTGAATGAAATGTTCTACAGTATTTAGAAAATTAGTACCCAGTGATGATGAAGTGCACAGTCATGCACACAGGTCAATAGGCTTTAGTCCATATGCCTTAATCTACATGTTGTATACTGTATGAAGTAAGTTACAGTTCCTCAGCGAAATGGAGGGAAAAGTGCTGCGGTTTTCAATAAAGCAATTTTCGGATTGTATTATGTGTGCTGCAAAATATAACTCAAACCAGAAGTAAAGCTTTAGACTGCATTTAAAGAGGAATTCCACAGCTTTTCAAGCTCATATTCATAATCTCATGCAGTCTAAGAGCAAATGCCCTTAGACTGCATTTGTTCCATATAGAGCCAGGGATAGCAGAGGGGAGTCATGTACAACTACTCTACAGATGCTATACATTTACTTAGCCTGATCCCAGATCTGTATGTACATTAGCAAACTCCTCTGACTGTATGTATGGTGTGGGAGCAGTAATCAGAAGAGTTTGCTAAAGCACATACAGGTATGGGATGAGGATAAAATTGACCATCTATATAGAAAATATTTAAGTGTGTCTATAGAGATGATAATCTTGGTCATCGCCAGCCAGTGTGATCAAACTGCATAGTCAAGGTGTTCTTCATTCCTCCCTGCAGAAGCCTCTGTCACCATCTTCTGGTGGCTCTCCACATTACATATCTGTCCGGTTTCCAAAAAGAGCTACAGCAACTATACACCAAGTCAACATGAATTCTTAGAATTGATTGCCAGCCTACACTGGAAGGGCAAAATATATTTTAGCCTACATTCCTAGCTTAGATATGTTCAACGGACATGCAGGACCACAGACAATGTGTAGATTAGCACTCCTACTCTGAGACTCTTTGTGAATTCAGATTCTGTGATGGTTTCTTAACTGGTAGTCCTCAAAGGTGAAATTGCATCGAATCGAATGAGGGCGGGGTGCTGCTAGTAGGCCTATTCTACAGGGTTGGGGTCAATTCCATTCCAATTCTCAATGCTTTTCAATTAGGAAAATGTGGAATTGGAATACCGTTTACATTCTGAATTGACTGGAATTTAAATGAAAGTGACCTTGCTATTCTACTATTATTCCCTCAATATGACCTCATACTCAAAAGACGACAACAGTGCAAAAATAACTAATGACAATTATTTTTTAAATGTAGAAACAGAGTATAATTTTTTACATTTGATTAAGTGGTTTCAATTGAATATTAACAAGCAGTATAACTTTAGAACAGGCAAGAGAGTTATTCAGGTCTAGATTGTATAGAATGTAAGGTCAGGTATGTTTTCGCTGCATTCAAATTCAATAGAATTTAGTTACAAACAGAAAGAAAGACATCAAACATACTGACCACATGATGGTGTCTTGAGACCAACAGATGTTAGGACACCGCAACTATGGAGACACGCATCACCTTCATGGCTTTCAGTGAGTAGGAGCTACCTTTCCAGGGATACCGACTTCAGACGAGTCCCAAGACGCTTGTGGAGGTCGTAGAGCAAAACGGAGAACACCATCGTGTTTGTGAGAGTCTCATCTTTTCATGAAGGGATCCGATCAGACGATTTCGTGAGAAGACCGATTTCTCATGGTCTAACGCACACAAACACACACTAAATTGTGACACAGGTTTTTACTTGTTCTGTGTGAAATACTGAAGGTGACATTTCTATAGAAAATTCTCTCATTCCATTCCCAAATTGACCTAGCTATGTCACCTCTCTTTTTCAAACTAAAGGTGGTTGACATACTGTCAAGGAAGTAGGATCTTCCTGATCATCTCACTAACAGTAAAACAGTTCTATATTCCTAAGAAACATTCCTAAAAACATTCTGGAGTGGACAGCTCTGGCTCCGGAGTGGAGCAGCTGACCGGAGCTGGATCAGGCACCGGTGGAGCGGACTGCTCTGGCTCCGGACTGGAGCTGCTGACTGGTGCCGGACCAGGCACCGGTGGAACGGGCACGGGCCGTGCCGGACTGGGAACATGCACCACTGGCTTGGTGCGAGGAGCAGGAACAGGCCGGGCCGGACTGGCGACACGCACCACTGGATTGGGGCTCTTCTCTCTTGCTCCCCGACCACCCCGTTAGCCCCCCCCCCCAACATTTTCTTGGGGCTGCTTCTCGGGCCTCCTCCTCGGCCGGCTTCCGTGTTGCCATTGCTCCTCTCCTGCCTGGGCTTCGCCCAGGGTCCTTTTCCCGAAAATATCTCCTCCCATGACCACCAATTGCCCACCTGTGACATGGCTACTCTCTCCGCCTGGGCACGCTGCTTGGTCCTCATTTGGTGGGATGTTCTGTCACATTCGTTCATAGGACGGGTCAGACCAAGGCGCAGCGTGATATGCATACATGTTTATTTTAACGAATAAACACAACGTCAAAACAATAAACCAACGATACGTGATGTCCTAAGGTACACACAACAAACCTCACACGGAACAAGATCCCACAACACCTAATTGCCAATAGGCTGCCTAAGTATGCTCCCCAATCAGAGACAACGAGCGACAGCTGCCTCTGATTGGGAAACACACCCGGCCAAACATAGATCTAGACATACTAGATAGAAAACATAGAACTACACAACATAGAAAATCACACCCTGACTCAACAAATAAGAGTCGCCAAATAAGAGTCGCCAGAGTCAGGGCGTGACAGTACCCCCCCCTTCCCCCCAAAGGTGCGGACTCTGACCGCACAACCTTTACTTAACAGGGTAGGGGCCGGGTGGGCATTCCGCCTCGGAGGCGGATCCGGCTCCGGGCGTGACAACCACCTATTCTCCCACTATACTCCAAGCCCTGTCTGGACCCTGGTGTGGGAGACACCGAACCTGGAGAGGGGCTGACGTCTGGGTCTGGACTGGAGCCGCTGACCGGAGCTGGACCGGGCACCAGTGGAGTGGACTACTCAGGCTCCGGACTGGAGCCGCTGACCGGAGCTGGACTTGGCACCGGTGGAGCGGACTGCTCTAGCTCCGGAGTGGAGCCGCTGACCGGATCTGGACTTGACCCCGGTGGAGCGGACTGCTCTGGCTCCGGAGTGGAGCCGCTGACCGGAGCTGGATCAGGCACCGGTGGAGCGGACTGCTCTGGCTCCGGAGTGGAGCCGCTGACCGGAGCTGGACTGGTCCCCGGTGGAGTGGACAGCTCTGGCTCCGGAGTGGAGCAGCTGACCGGAGCTGGATCAGGCACCGGTGGAGCAGACTGCTCTGGCTCCGGACTGGAGCAGCTGACCGGAGCTGGATCAGGCACCGGTGGAGCGGACTGCTCTGGCTCCGGACTGGAGCTGCTGACTGGTGCCGGACCAGGCACCGGTGGAACGGGCACGGGCCGTGCCGGACTGGACACACTCACCACTGGTCTGGTGCGAGGAGCAGGCACGGGCCGAACCGGACTAGGAACATGCACCACTGGCTTGGTGCGAGGAGCAGGAACAGGCCGGGCCGGACTGGCGACACGCACCACTGGCTTGGTGCGAGGAGCGGGAACAGGCCGGGCCGGACTGGCGACGCGCACCACTGGCTTGGTGCGAGGAGCAGGAACAGGCTGGGCCGGGCTGGGAACAGGCACCACTGGTTTGGTGCGAGGAGCAGGAACAGGCTGGGCCGGGCTGGCGACGCGCACCACTGGCTTGGTGCGAGGAGCAGGACAGGCCGGACCGGGCTGGCGACGCGCACCACTGGCTTGGTGCGAGGAGCAGGAACAGGCCGGGCCGGGCTGGTGACGCGCACCACTGGCTTGGTGCGAGGAGCAGGAACAGGCCGGGCCGGGCTGGGAACACGCACCACTGGCTTGGTGCGAGGAGCAGGAACAGGCCGGGCCGGGCTGGGAACACGCACCACTGGTTTGGTGCGAGGAGCAGGAACAGGTCGGACCGGGCTGGCGACGCGCACCACTGTCTTGGTGCGAGGAGCAGGAATAGGTCAGGCCGTACTGGGAACACGTACCACTGGCTTAGTGCGGGGAGCAGGAACGGGCCGGACCGGACTGGCGACGCGCACCACTGGCTTGGTGCGAGGGGCAGGAACGGGTCGGGCTGTACTGGGAACACGCACCACTGGCTTAGTGCGGGAAGCAGGAACGGGCCGGACCGGACTGGCGACACGCACCACTTCCTTGGTGCGAGTAGCGGGACTGGGTTCCTTTATTAACCGCCGCTCCTTCTGTTGCCTAACCAGCTCCTCTCGCCGTGCCTGTACACTTTCCTTCTCCCTTTTAGCCTCCTGTAGCGCCTCCCTCTGACCGAATAACTCCTGCTCCCTCTGAACCAATAGCCCCCGTAACCTCCTCTCCTAACCTGCAGATTCGCCCTTCCACGGCCTCCTGCTGCCTCGTCATCCACACTGTGTGCCCCCCCCCCCCCCCCCAAAAATGTTCTTGGGGTTGCCTCACGGGTCTCCGTCGTCGGCACTCCTCTTCCCGTGAGGACTCCTCCGGGAGCCCCCACGAGTTAGGGAACAGAAACTTGTCGTCGTCGTCATCCTCCGGTCAGACCAAGGCGCAGCGTGATATGCATACATGTTTATTTTAACGAATAAACACAACGACAAAACAATAAACCAACGATACGTGATGTCCTAAGGTACACACAACAAACCTCACACGGAACAAGATCCCACAACACCTAATTGCCAATAGGCTGCCTAAGTATGCTCCCCAATCAGAGACAACGAGCGACAGCTGCCTCTGATTGGGAAACACACCCGGCCAAACATAGATCTAGACATACTAGATAGAAAACATAGAACTACACAACATAGAAAATCACACCCTGACTCAACAAATAAGAGTCCCCAGAGTCAGGGCGTGACAACGCTTTTATTTTTTGTTGTCCTAGGCTACCTGGTTAAAATGCTTGCTCGCTAACCTAACTGTAGCTTAGCATCTGCGTCATCTGACCACTTCCTTATTAACCGAGTCACTGGTGCTTCCTGCTTTAGTTTTTGCTTATAAGCAGGAATCAGGAGGATAGAGTTATGGTCAGATTTGCCAAATGGAGGGCGAGGGAGAGCTTTGTATGCATCTCTGTGTGTGGAGTAAAGGTGGTCTAGAGTTTTTTTTACCTCTGGTTGCACATTTAACATGCAGGTAGAAATTAGGTAGAACAGATTTAAGTTTCCCTGCATTAAAGTCCCCGTCCACTAGGAGCGCTGCCTCTGGATGAGCGTTTTCCTGTTTACTGA